GGGGGTGGGCAGGATGGGAACACTTATGGTGGGGCGCGGGGTTGGGCAGGACCGGACTCGGCCGGCGAGACGTGCGCCATAGAAATTTTGAGCAGCAAATTCATAATTCTGTTTACGTGGACCTGGAGCGTTAGAGTTTGGTAGGGTTACACTTTTCGTATTAACAATGGAACCTCACCGTTTTAATATGTGATGTAAAATATGACAGGATCGTAGGTACTCGGTGATAGGAACTGATCATAACTGATAACAGAAGATAATGGACCTAAGGTAGGTCACCTACCGATCAAAATTATGACGTCTTCGGTATTTACGATGTAGCTTTGATCGTTCAGTATGTTTCATTCGATAAGACGGGATGCTAGAGTAGGGTGACATAAGTTGGTGGTACGTGATAAGGGCCCACTAACGGCACTACGCTGAGCAGATGAAAATTTTGCCCTTTTCTTGTTACTAGATTACGACCGCTACTCAACAAGGTTTGCAACTCACTGAATGATTGATGATATATGTTCGATATCATTTGCGACAAAACTTAATCGACCGCCAGTAATCTGGAATTCTCAGCTAATGATATCTCCGTGAAGAAAAGGATTGATAAAGACACCTGATGGTGCTATCATCATTCAGAACATTTCCGCAGCATGATCTTCGGTTGTCTAACAGTTGAATTCCTGGTAGGCATTTCTTTTTAAGATGGAGAGCAGAAGATCGGCACCTCCAATCAAAGGCGTAAGCACCGACTTTCACTGAATATCATTTGCACTGCCCTGTTGGTCCTGTGTCATATTTCGTGTACAGGAAACTATTGTTTGTTTCAAAAAGGAGTGGAGAGTTAGCCTATTACTACAACTTTGTCAAAGAAGAAGGGAAGCCCGGCGTTAGCCGTCCGAACCGACTGGTTTGATATTATTTGTTTCAGGATCTATCAACATAGGAAACACGAATTCTACATCCCGCTATCTGTGCGACTTGTCCCGGAGCAGGAGGAGGAAGATTTCGACGAGAGGACGGAACAACATGCAGATAGCGGAGGCAAGTATCCCGACTATGATGAAGAAGAGATGACTCATGTGTTTCTATTTTATTCAATTAGTTGAAATGTATTTTCGGCTGTTGTCAAACACTTTTTGTTTAGAAATCGAGCAATATGTGCGGGAATGATGCCACCTATCGCGAAAGGGTGGAATAGAGCGCAACCGTGGTGAGCCAATGAGAGCACCCAACAGCAGCAAACGACTCGCCGGAGTGATTGAAGAAGTCCAAGATTTAGAATGGACCCCGCTAGCGTCGATTCGCGAACGTGATGAAGTTCTGGGAGGTATGCGGGCTATTTTAAGATCGGGAGTTGAATATAGCCTAGCAGTTCTAGCCGTTCCAATTTATGACCGACCTTCCACAAGCCAGCAATGTTTTAATTCCAAACCGCCCGCCGACAACATTAAATCAAGCGATTTGATCTCAGATAGGCTGCTTTCATAGTCCGCCGGCCGGCGGACTATGAAAGCAGTCATAGCCCACCTCGCAGTACCGAACAAATTCCGGAGCAGCCCATTCATAATAGATCACCTTTAATAAAACGGAAAATTTTTTTAAAGGTGAAAATAACGTGCCCGAAGAATTATCCTCTTATGCCACCAAACTCCTCACCTTCTCAGGAAATAACGGTGGAGCGGGGTTAATAATTTTTTTAGACAATTTACCGAAATCCTCTTTATAAAGCGCTAACCTTGTGTGACTGTTTGTGTGCCTGTTTGTGTGTCCTCCCAAAAGCCACGTAGGCATGATCATGAGCGTGAAGATCACAAGAGCGCGGTGAGAAACCAGTTATGAAATGAAAAGTCGACCCATGCTCTTTATATTGGTCCGTTGATTAATATTCAGTTAATTTATGAGCTCACAGACCAAAAATCACAACTCGCTAATGATACCGCGGTACGAGTTGTTTGATTAATAAAGTTGGTAGGCCATACAGTTAAACGTCAGGTTAGATCGTATCTCCGCCCTCTCGCCTGTAGTGTTACGTGGCTAAGTTGTTGGCTGCTTTCTGCCAGATTAAACTCAGCCAGGCCAATATCGTCATCTTGGGAAAGATATGCAGACGGTAGCGCACCCCACCGGCCCTGTGCATAAAGGACCTGTTGTGCAGCCGCTGCCTTCATGTATCCAAGGGGTCCTAGAGATAGATAAGTGAAGTATTGTGCAGTGTTCGCTGTGAAACCTATTGTCGTTTACTACGTTCTACATTGCAGATTGGCTGGGCAAGCTGCTTCAAATTCAAAAATCAAATTGGTAGTGGATTGAATTTGAACCAGAAGAATCCGGAGTTGATTAGTGGCACGGTGCTGTAAAATGCTGATCTGTTTTTTTGCAGTGTTGACTGTTCTTCAGTGCTTTTTTAAAGACCTGTATGGTTGCATTCTCGATGATTTTCGGTACGTGACACTCGAAGATGCACCGATTGACCTGTCACCTGTATTATTTGTTGTTATAGTTGGTATTACCGAGTGTTAGTTCTAAAGACCAATAGTCTCTCAATGGGGACATTCTGACCAAACCTATGTATTTCAAGGCATGTGCCATAAAATTTGTATTTTTCTTTGTTGTCGGTTTCTGTGAAATTTCTTCCAATTTCAGCTTTGCCATGCCTTCTGGTTTCTGATGTGCACAGTTACATAATATTGCAAATCATGAAGTTTGAAGTGATCGATTAATTCTCTACAACAAAAGGCATCGCCATCTACACTGTTGTGTTTCCATTCCACTGGCCAAAGACGATGCTACTGTTCTAATGTCAAAAGGGGCGCATGTGCTGTATCATCCTCATCTTCTGCCTGCTCCTTATCAGAATCGATCTAAAGCGGATTGAAATTCAAATTCTGCACGGTCTGAAAAACGCCAAGATAACAAATAGCTACAGTTGTCAAAAAATAGAATATCGTTAAAGAACCTGAAAAATAGGAAATGGGGCCATGCAGTCCACACTGTGGGCCACAGTCGCGGCTGGAAGAAAAAAGCACCGGTCTTCGCTTTTTTTTAAAAAGTCACTTTTTTCTCGCAGCCCGATTGCCATCAATGTATAGATCACCTTTTTCTAACAAAAAGCTACGTTTGAAATTACTTTCAAATCTCGCCGGGTTTCCAAATTTCCCTTCGAGCTTTTGTCATTCAATCATGAGCTTTGTGATCAGAAGTCGTTTCGAGGATCTTTAACAGGCTTTGCATCTTGTCGATAACACTGAAAATGCTGCGTCCAAATGTTACCTCAGGTGAAATGCTTCTATAAAAACTAGCTGAGGAACGAAAAACTCGAAGAGGAAAAATTGATGTGCCTGCTTTCAAATTTGAAGGTATGACGATTCCGATATTCTAACGGGTCATGAGCTGGTTAGTCTCATCTGCTTATGCAGTTCCGTGAGAGCTAAAAACAAAGTTCTAACCTCGAACAAGAGTTTCATTCGCTATCAGAACTATTGTCATTTACTCAGAAAGGCTTAGGAGAGCACTCGGAAATGGCGCTACCTTCAATCTCTTATTATCGACATGGTGCACATACTTTTTTCATAACACTACAATTGCTACTTCTCTGACATATATTGGAATCTTTCTCTTACTAGGCGAGGTTTCTCCGCCCTGAGAAGCACTAATATCTGTCCTGTGTTATCACAAACAGGTGCAGGACCATTCGAATCCTTTCATAATTAGATGAGAAAGCTCTGAGCAGAAAGTCTGTAATAACTAAAATTTTACCAAATAACTAGTCAAATGAGAAATCTTCACGACAAAATGTTGTTGAAGCTAAAGAGTCTTGACGCCATCTGCTTTAAAAAAGGCTAAGGAAATTCCTTACCAATCGTACATTTCGAGCTCATGTTAACGACCCCTAATCACAATAACGTCTTCAGTTGTATTCTTTAGATCGGACTACTGTCGCCGTTCATTATTCAAAGCTATGAACTATGTTCCTTACTCATATTTATTGTAGTTGATTTCTGGTTTCGAGGATGATGTGAAGATCTAGGTATGTCAAACAGGGAAACAAGCGAAGTGTTGAGGATCTTACAAATAGATGACCAATGTTTGGCCTCGGCTTCATTGTCACTCGTAACCATAATTTCGCGGAGCGTGGAACATTACGGCCTCTGGAGCTCTCAAAAAGTTTCCTATGTATGGTCGAAAGTTTGAATTGCAGGAAGCCAGTGGTTTTACTTCTCACTTATAAGGTTTCATTCATTGACCTGTCTTGGCGCTGAGCGGTCGAGTGGTGTTGGTGTCGTAGGTATCGCCCACACTTTGTTGCGAATCACTTTTACCGTGCTCTGTTGTAATATGTTCTGTTCTACTCTACTCTACTTTATTTTCTTACTTCCTTTTCTGGTTCATCTCCTGGTACCCTTGTGTCGGGTTCGAAACTGTACTGTCTTTATTCAAAGTCACCTAGTCAGGTGGTATTTACATAATTCATCAGATTTTTCTTCTGCACCGGCCGTCTTGATCGTTTGTTCGTTGTGGTTCTTTTGGCCGCTTTTTGATCTCAGTAGCAGAGATCTATCAATATTTTTCGATTACCACGAACAGCGGTGCATTGGATCAATCTCTATGTTATTGAAATTTTTCCTGGGCACTCCTCATTTTTCTTATCAAATTTAGGGCTTCAAAAGAAACCAGATTGAGTACAGTCTCCTGGTATAGATGAGGGGCCCTTCACGATGCAGTGAATCTACTTATGAGCAACGAGAAACCTCCTGCGAACTGAAAACAGCGCTGGGACATCTTTTGGAGGGAATTTCATTCGTAGTTAAACTGGGAGAGAGAAGTAAGGAACTTGAAGAGCGACCTAGCTCTGAAATTGCTTAATATCGCTTATTGAAAGAAATTGATGCTTTGAAACATTCTCTTGCTCTTAGTTGACAGAATTCTCCTGCTACCAGACCTCTCTCTAATTCTAGTGTTTCTTCGCTTCATTGTTGTAGAAAAAGAGAAAGGCTAAGATCGATGGTATTAGTTTCTGGCATAGTACAATAGAACCAAAAGACCTTTCAGCTCTCGCACCTCACGTGACTTTGATTAATTGAGAACATTGTTCGACTTCTTGTCTATTGATTGCTCTCCATTTACGTTTTATAGAAACGGGAAACCCACGACAATTTCTTACGATTGAAATTTGTTCTTCCGATACGTTTTTCAATCGCCTTCTTCTTACGAGAGCCCCAAGACTGAAAACCGTTTCTGCTCCGGGAGTTTGTACCCGCTATTCACTGAGGCGAAGGCTGAGAGGAACCGCATCAGAGCCCTTCGGATGGAGAAGAAGTTTGCTGTTAATGCCACGAATAATATTGATGTCTGTCTCCGGTCCCGTCCTCGCGGTGGCTGCACCACTCACCGCCTTTTTTCTACTCGAAGATACACCAGCTCTCCAGGACACGATCAAAAGCGCCGAGTATCGTCTGCGATATTGTCATTCTTAAGACCATATCGAGGAAGTCCAGCTGAGAAGGGCGAGAACTCGTCGATTTTTAGGCTTGCAGTCTGGTTGTAACATACGAATCCGACCCAACTTCGCAACCTCAAAGGCAAGTAGCGCTGAAGAACTTCTGACGCACGATTATATTCATAAGCTCCCTAGCATCTTTCCCTCACCTTGTTATTAATATATAATGTTGTTCAATGTTTATTCGTTAAACTGTACTGCATTCTCTAGTGTGCTGTGTGTAGATTGGGGTAATACAGATGTAGTGCAATCGCAACTATGTATAAGACTGTTAGGCATGCGCATATACGTGACAAGATGTAAGAGGTAGTTGTGTAGGAAGCAGTATCAGAAGGGTAGTAGGAATGTCGGTAAGCGTAGGTATGATGCTTGCAGGTGTTGAGATCGATGTGAATCGCTTAGGTATGTTTGGCTCGCGTTCGCGTTCGCATGCGCTACGTTCGCGTAACAGCGGCAGGCGATATGCGAACGGTCTGTGCGACTCCTCTTCGTGCATAATAACGCGACGTAACGTCGCGTCGTACTCTATTGTTATTACAACATTTTTGCATTATAGATGAGTGGTTTGTTACCAGATGTTTTATGGGATGTTGTTTTGACGCATGAGATTGGAACCCATGTAATGAATATGGTCGAACCGATGTGATAGTGAACCAGGCCACTGATTACAGATATACAGCTTTTTCAAGACCTTCATCCGAATTTCAACTGAGAATAAAAAAAATGCGGAACCCAATACAATTTTGTTAAATATAGGAACAAACAAATGAATACGATTTCTTCTCTATTTAATGTGAACGTGGACTAACTCCACATAGGCATCAATCTTTTGTGTCCACAATATATCCAGAGACAGAACATGCTGGTAGAATTTGCGAAATGTTGTTAAACGGCTTATTTTAAAAATACAATATAATAGCGTGGGTATTGCCTCATGCTTACACATATACATACACGAATCTCAACGCCTATGAATCCTTATTAAGAGCACATCATCAAACGAAACCAAACATCTTAGTAACTTCAGTTTCTTATACGAGAACGAGTATGGTATCCGAAATAGGAGTTACTAAGGCAAAAGAGTTGGAAGTACTTCGCAATAATAGTCGCATCCTTTCCTGTGCGCTACCCAAAGTTAGTCGAGAACGTTTTATAGAATAATTCAGTTGGGGGATGAGGTGGTGAGCGCTCTTTTAGTCACTGCTTCTCTAGCTGTAGAGCGCTGAAGGTAACGGAAGCGATGGAGATCAAGCTCCCAAAGGGACTCCATTACAATTTCAGAAGGTAGTGACCATTTCAAGCTATCCAGCCGCTACCACTGATTACAATTCCTATCGTTGACCCGTTTCAATCAGTATCTCGAACCTATGTTGTCCAAGGTAAACCAGAAAAAATTCCATCTTTGACATAAAAACGCATAGTTATCTCTGCACTGAAAACTCGTTTCATTTCGTGCTCGGTGTCGGCCCGGGTAGCTGCTGGAAGTAGTAGTTCATCTTCTCAGCGATTTCGAGCACTTGAGTGGTTTCGGGTCGCCGTGAGGGATCCGGTGATATGCAGTGCGAGACTAGATTTCGGAGCTGTAAAATTACATCATTTGAATCAACTGACTGCTCCATCAGATACATGCAAATCTATAGAGCAAAATGCGAACAGAAATGAAAAGTAGCCACAATCAGCATATCCTCAGCCTGATATTCTGAGTAGATTTTTCTTCGAGTCGAAGATATACAACAAAACATTCAACACATGTGATTTTATATAAATTTCTCATTCAATTCATCAATCAAGACTATGACTCATACCATACGAAAGTGACTTGATTTCAGCTTCCAGACCGCACATGGTGAAAACATCGTACAAAAACGCCTTGCAGCTGGCTGAGGACTGCGCAGGTGCGCCTGCCATCCCGATAAAAGAGTCGCCTCGCCAGTTTCACTTCCTGTTACATGCTCCATGCCATGACCTCCTGTTATTGCTTCGACATTATATAGCTGTGCTATAGCCTCTACTGACGTAGAACCAGCGCTTGGTCCAATTACCCAAGTTTGAGGTAAACGATAAAGCGCTAGTTAGTGGCGAACTGTGCAACAACATATCTGTCTATCAATATATCTGCATTAGCTCAACAATATCGGATAGAGGTAAATCAGAATGAAGTTCACGATCATTCTGAGGTAGTCTTTTTGGGCGAGAAAGCTTATGTATTGATTGGGAATAGTGCGTCGGCGGTGAAGAAAGCGAGAATGCCTTTCAATGTTGCTATGGGTCATGACAAAATATTTGAACCACATGGGCTCCCATGTGAATTATGCAGCCCCTACAATGCTGTTGTAACTCGACCGCGCATATATATTGGACAATATTTCTGCCTTCGTAACGCCCTATATAGGCCGTTTTCCAATCTAATAGAGCCACGTATGCGAAGCGGCACAGATTTATTCTAGCGGTTTATCTCAAAAAACATTTTATCGTGAACTGTGCCCTTAGGTACTCACTCATCTTTGATCGCCAACGACAACTATGTTTAGCAGAATCTCGGAGTGTAGAATAACTTGCGTTGAACAATCTTTTAGAATGCATTACACGCTCATTCAGAGTACGAGACTCGTCTGAATGACGAGCTTTAGTATCCTACTTCACTTATGTCATGACTCCCTTCTTCTGGACCTATAGCTTTCGAATATGGAAAGCATACATGTTGCAGGGCTAGAGCACTGATAGTAATCTTTAGGAAGTGATATTAGCCGTTAGGCATGAATAAGTAAGCTCAGAATGCAGGAGCCACACGATCCATTAGTCTTTGAATCTGTGGCGTTCTTGGTGATGACAGCTGTTTCTTGGCAGACCCGTTCGAGTTGTGAAAGGGAATACTATCGCAGATACGTTATGACAGGAGCTGATAACAGTTGGTAGCGGCTCATAATAAGCTATACATGTCAAATGTTGATTGCGCCCTATAGATCAATAGAGGAATCTTGACATTATGGTCAATGATATAGGATTTGTTGGGATCGCGTACGCCTGGTGACAAGCACGGACAACATCTAATAAAGGTTGGTATTTGCCACTAGATCACTTCTTTTTTTGTTTGGCAGCGGAGCAATGCTACTTTAGTATGTGACATGGGGAGTGACCGGATCGGAGACAGTGGATCGCAGGGGATGTTCACAGCTGATAAAGGCTGGTAAGGAATCATGGGCGGCGGAAATTTTCCTCAGTTCTCTACGTTCGTTTAGCGGCATGCGGCGAATCTTTTCTAATTGTCTCACGACTTCAACTCGAAATTACCGATCTGAGCACCCCTCTCGGCCAATTAATAGGAGGTCATATTTTTCGTTGGCTGACCTTCTTCCTTGATTGCTTCTTTGTGTATATTTTTTGTTTTTATTTTATTGGATCGATGATCAAGACCACATTGGGATAGAAGGAAGTGGGCGGCAAATGTTAATACACCGGTGTGCAAAACTTAGGGACGGAAGCAACTTCGATTACTGTATTTCTACCAGATAGTAGAACTCGATGAAACTTATACCAGAGAGGACCACTATGGTTTTGCACAGGAAGCAACTGACAGAGAATCGAAATAAAACGAACAGATACGGCATTCTTATTCAAAGGTACCAATTACACATAAGTCTCACAGTTCATCCTGGTATCTCAACAAAAGTGACGGGCTCCTAATAGGGTGTATGATAACCACGGACACAATACATGCCTTGCAACGCGATCCCATACTTTCCACGAGGTCGGTAATGAGTTCCTGTGGTAGGGCATTCCACTCCTGTACCAACGCAGTTGACAATTGCACGATGGTCACTAGAGCGTTTGGACGTGCTGCAATGCATCTACCCAGTGCATCTCACTCGTGCTCGACGGGATTGAGGTTGGGGAATGGGCAGGCCACGCTGGATATCCTCTTGTGCCGGAATTTCCTCCACCTATGCTGTTCAATGCGGTCGCGCATTGCCATCCATAAAAATGAATTTTGGGACCACTGCAGCCGGAGAAGACGCTTATAAGGAAGCAGTACCTCGTCACTATTATGCTGACTGGTAAGGGATCATAGGTTAAAAATCTGGGGGTCAGTACGGCTATGCATCATGATGCCTCCCCATACCATAACACTTCGGCCACCAGAACGGTCACGTTCGACAATGATTCTGGGAGTTTCGTGTTCCCACCTCTCGCTGCATGAGGTTGCACCCAGAATCACTACTCAGACTGAATCCGCTTTCATCCCAAAAGTGCACACGACTCCATTCAACATCGGTCCACTCGCTATGTTCCTAGCACCACCCTAGCTGCCTTGCCGATGCGCGATGGTCAAAGGAACACAATGTAGTGGTCGTCGGGCGCACAGACGCCACCATTTAGTTGTCGTGCCGTTGCAGTGAGTGAGATGGCTCGCCTTGAATTCCTATTAAATGTCACTGCAATCACAGTAGCTGATTGACGTGGATCACGTTGGATCTTCCTGCCTGTTGCAAAATGTAGCGGTCATCTCTCGGTGTGATCGATCTTGGTCGACCACCTCCTCTATGTCGGGCAGCAGCACCAGTGGTTCGAAATGCTATCCATGCACGTGAAACAACGCTGTGACAGACACCGAGCTACTAAGCTACCCTTCTCATGGTTCGATCTTCTTCGAGTTTTCCGGTGATCCTTCTATGCGTGAAGCCATCCAGATGATGTCTGAAGGATATGATGTATAGAAGGATATCACACAGTACCTTGTTACTAACAATTTACTTCGTAGTTATCAACTGCCTCGATATGCACGGACAGCCATATTTCGCGTCTCATCTGAAACTGCTCCAAGAAGGGAGGCCTAGCCTCCTGTGCACCTGATATAGGTCTGGCAATATACCCACACTTTCATATTTTTCCACCCAGTCTATAAAGTTTTATGCTACATTATCCATCTCATCCCTAAGTTCCACACACCAGGACCCACCAACTCATAGTTTGCGCGCTCCCATCTTCCATCGCATTTCTGCGATACTCGAAGGGAGCGGCAGGCCCGACGCAGTGTTGGAAAAAAATACCGGACCCAAGGAATTATGGGCTACTCGTTTCTAACCCCTCTGGTATATACGATGTAGCGTGGACCTTTTCATTTGTTTCATGACATAAGACTGAACGAGAGCGGTTATAAGAACAGATCAATGTCGGAACCACATAAGGAGGTTGGCTCTTACCTTGCTACTAAATTATGGTGAATTCCTCACACTTTGCGCCCTAATAAGAAGCGAGAGCAAGCGATAAGCGTATGCGCCCCGTGTCGAATTTGCAAAGCAAGTATAGTTGAGAAAATCTCCCATAGAAAAGCTTGGCGTTCCGACTGTTTCAAAAAAATAAAGGTGAACATGACAATAATGTCATTCCTTGCACCGGTCAGAACCCTCTCCGCAAAATGCAGGATGTCAGCAGAGTCTGAGAAAGGTTCGCTTCTAAGAGGTGCAGGCCTGGTTTTTCTGATTCTGTGATACCATCGAGTAACCAAAAGCCACGTGAGGCGTATGAAAATTAGGATTACCTGTGAGGAGTAGATGTCAGCGGGTAACGGAGGGTACTCGCAGTTTTCTATTTTCTTGCACAGTGAATAGAGATTCTGCTTGTCGCCGTAGAATGGTGACTGCAGCGCTGCCATTTCATACAACAGACAACCTGTCGACCACAAGTCCGATTTGAAATTGTAGCCACTTTCTTGAATACGCTCAGGAGACTGAAATATTTGAGGAACAAAATCACATTTTCGGTCAGACGGCAAGTTATTAGGACAATAATCTCAAGATAAAGAATTGTAAAGAAAACCAACTGTTTTGACAAGGGCATAGTGCTGTGATATAACTCATTCTTCACTTACCATATAGTATGGGGTACCCACGAGTGAGTGTGCCGCAGTAGTTTTGGAGCTGAAAAACCGCCCAAGTCCCAAATCACCCAGTTTGACTACTCCTTCAGAGGTGATGAACACGTTTGCAGGCTTGATGTCTGAAAAGACGAGAAGAGAGTGAGATAAGCAGATAAAGAAAGTGGTTGGCTATTGGGTTTTCTCAAGTGAAAAACGGTTGAATGTTTAAAACTTTTTCTAGTCAAAAAGAGGCGAAAAACTATTGTTGAGGGAATAGAAGAATCAGCTATATGGGCCAAATGACGCTTAAACGGTCCTCAAACGCAGAACCTGTCCAAGTCTCCGTAGTCTTTCATCACTCCAAGTCCATGTTCAGTAATTCATGTCGGAACTTCCGAGGATGATGACTCAACACGAACTGCAGTTCCTTAGACAGTAAAGCGCCCTTTACATCGACATTCCTGGGCTTCCTCAAATTAAAAAGAGGACATCCACACAGTACAGTGTCAGGTTCCCCACTTCTTCGTAGCGCTTGGAAGGCTTCAGAGCCGACGGTATTCTGTTGATGTTTCCCTCCATAATAGACTCGATTGGAGGACACGAGAAAAGTGCTTCGAAAACGTCAGTCGTTGTAAACCATCATTTGAGAGTAGCAAGCACCGTTTTTATACTGTATTTTGTAGCAGAATTCAAAAATTTCTGGTTATTGCCCTTCTTTCCAAGCTTGAGCTTCACGTTGGAAACACAAGGGAGACCGATCGCGCCAGCAACTCGTCGGTCATAGAAGATGATCTCCGACAAAGAAATTATAATGATATGCCCTCCTGCCCACGCCTACTAGCTGACCTTCTTGGAATTGCCGCTATACTGTCTGCACGCTACCCTTGGAAGCACTATCCAGCACTTTGCCAAGGAGTTCCAAACAAGTGCAAGTCTGCCGATCATGTTGCTTCGATGGTTAACAAAGAAAAAAAGTGCTAGGGTGCTTTATGAGTGCGTCAGCTTACCTCGATGCATAATTCGTTTCGAATGCATATGAGCCAGAGCCCTGACAAGTTGCACGAAATACTTCCAGATTGTTCTTTCTGGTATCAGTCGACCATTTTTCTTGAAATGCTGAAGTAACGCTGGATTAGTTTGTGGCCCAATTCAAGGATAAATGGAAACGCTGAGCTATTATTAACAAAAAATGGTTCTTACACACCTTAATCATTCTGCTCATATCTCCTGCCTCAGCCAGCTCCAACACTATGTTCAATTGATTGTTGTCCATAAAACTGGCGTAATACCTAAACACCAACTTTTTTTCACAATTAACCTTGTGCTTGTAGTAGCAGTGCCAATTGTGTCTGAGAAAAAGTTATCGAATTAGTAAGACACCTTATAACATTAACATGGTTCAGCTGTTTGAGCAAATCAATCTCCTTTAAGCAATCCTGTCGAGCCTTTTGATCGACCATTTCGAAAACCTGAAAAGAAAAACGGCATTGAGCGATGATGATGATTGTAAGCTGCCTCAAAATGTAAGTGGGACCTGAATTTTTTTGAGCGCCACCATCTGACCATTCCACTCACATCTAGCCCGGAAAACCTGTAACGTAAAACAGATTCTGAGGATGCCACTGTTATGGAATGCACTAAAAGCAAAAATTTTGCAAATGTACGTCTGAAAAGGGCGGAGGTGGCGTATGTACATAGTAACGCAGATTCACACATGCATGGTCATGGATTCGAACTCCGGATTGAAATCCACCTAGGCCAACCAAACCTTCCATCCCTCCTTGGTCAAATAATTGGTAACAAGCTCGTCTGGGAAGACAAAAGCACTGACGTGTCCATCGGCTGGCTACAGCGTATAGACCACATGCGCATTCAGTGCCTACTACGATTACTACGATTCTGAATAGAAATTGAATGCATGGGCGCATCCCTGAGAACGGGTTAATTAACGCCCCAAGACTAAACCTTTATCCTTCGAAGATCTAACGAGTTGGGAGCTAGGACAGTTGTTCGGAATCGAGAAAAGAGTCTGTGTTCGCCGTCAAACTCTTCAGTACGTTGGTAGCACAAGAATTCTTATGGGAGGAGAGAGGACGGGGAAGTAGTAGGCTGGTTGAGAAGGAGTTCTTTGCATTTTCAACCTTCATCAAGAACTAGGAAATCTGTGCCATATCAAGGGAAATTTGATCGCATATTGTGCCTAGGCAACTTCCAGAAAACAGAAGGTTTTCTTCAATGTGGTTCTAGCTATGAGGCAGGGGTAATACCGTTGCCAACTTCTTGCCCTTGAGTCAATTTGAACTTTGTATAAAACTACCTCATGCTCATAGTCATGACACCTTACAGAGATTCCTTTCAAAGCGATTTCTCGTGAGAGTTCACTATTTTTACATTTTCTTATCGAACCAGTTTTGCTACGCACGCTAGTGCGTGCACCATATGCCCACTACCGCTTACCTACGACTTGTTAGAGGACCAATATGAACAGGGTCCGTTGACTTCCCTTTTCATAACCGTTTCTCCATTAGGTGATATTCCCCAATTTGAACGGTGTGATGCCGCTTTGTGGGTGTTGTTCTCCTAACACTAATAGGTGGTCGTGAATTGTTTCCATTCCGACCTTCTCGAGTTCCTAAATGTTTGATTGTCCTGAGGCGAGTTGTGATTTTTAGTCTGTGACGTCATAAATAGCCTGGATATAAATCAACGGACCAATATAAAGAGCAATGACGTCTTTCCATTTCATAACTGTTTCCTCACCGCGCTCATTTGACATTCACTCTCTTCGTCGTGCCCACGTGACTTTCGGAAGGACCCACAAACGGCCATGCAAAAAGACACACAAAATTACCGATTTAATTATAGAGACAGTCGGACCGATCGGCTAGCACCGGGCTTCCCTCCTTCTTATTATAGAGTTGTGATAGACGGCAAACAGCACTCTCCTTCTTCGGTACGAATGATACTTTTTGGAAATAGGGCATGCAAAAGATATTCAAAATGTGCCGATGCCTATGCCTTCGATTAGAATCTGTCTGTCTCGATCTGTCACTGTTGATTTTAAAAATAATGACCCATTAAGATTTAACTGGTAGTGCATTCAAAGCCTTGAATGGTCCTCATAAATGTTGTCGAGCCATAATATTACCATTATCAAAAGTCTCCATGAATGTAGCTCCTTTTCGCTACAGATACAAATGATGTCAAAGCAGAGAGAAACCCTGATCCTTCTTTGAATCACAAACTTCGCTGGGTAGAGGTCGTAAGCAAGGAGCGAACCAAATTTCATAATCGGTCCCTATCTGTGCATTTACCCTTCTTGTCGAACGAAACATATCAAAGAATCAAAGCTAGATCGTGAATAACGAAGGCGCTAGGATTCGATTGGTGATTGGATCTTGTTCTATAAGGCCTCTTCTATCGTCAGAGCTCCTATCATCCCCCTCTACTGCTGATTTTGCTCTTCAAGTCCACGGGATCAGGAATAATGGATTTTCGCTCAGGCATTTATTTTGCACAAATCCCGCCTTCAGTGGGCGGGGTCCAGTCCTCCAACCTACCATAAGTGGTCCCATCTTGCCGCCTATACTCCTGCAAAGTTTGAGCGCCCTAGGGCCAAATTAATAATTTTGGCACAAACCCCGCCCCCTGTGGCCCGATCCTGCCACCCACCATTAGTGTTCCCACCCTGCCTCGGGTACTTTCCAATAAAATCTAACTCTCTAGGTTCACAGGGACACGGGTTATGATTTTATTCTGAAACATTTATGTCACACAAACCCCGCCCCTGTGGGCGGAGTCCGGTCCTGCCACCCATTATATGTGTTCCCATCCTGCTGCCTGTGCTACTATTAAATTTGAACGTCCTAGGTCCACGGGGACAGGAGTTATGAATTTCCGTACAAACAGACAGACGGACGGACCGACAGACAGACCCGACCTACATGTCTGCCAAATTTGAACGACCCAGGTCCAANAAAAAAAAAGGCACTGCAATGGTGATAAAAATGCAAGATCCAATTGTCGCTTGATGCAGGATCTTCTAAAAAACAAAAATGTCAGCGACACATGGGTCAACACACCTTCTATGCCGTTTGTGGGAAAAGTGAGAGAAGCAAAGAATAACTGAATGTCACCTTGACTACGAGACTGAGCGTTATGCAAGCCGAATGAGTGCAACACTTGTGAAAAATCGATTACACTCTCAAAGGTTCACAGAACCATATATTGAAGTGAAATTGTTTATGGAACGCCCTTTGAGGGAACTTTTGCTAAGTTGGGGTAGTTTATGTCCTGATTTGCCATGAGGTTTTTATCACGCAGGGTCCACCACTGGTTGCTGGGTGATTTCGAGGATCTACAAAGCTGCGGTTAGTGGCCTGAATGCTGGATGGGTCTTGATCTCTAGCAGAGCTGAGTTCACGTTTGATCGGATATCCACAAATCGTTTTCGATCCAATTCAGGCTCTGAAAAAGCCGACTCCGCCAAATTGTTAGCCCATAACGTTTTCAATAAAAATCTCAGGAGAGTGCAAGAGATAAATTACATCAAGCTACAGTCAGCCATAGAATTCATTAAAGCACGCAAATGGAGCATTTGCTAGGGTTGGAACCGTAGGCACTTGCTCAGAGATGTTTCGGCAACACCGCCAGTAGACCATGCAGGTTCTCTGGCATGATAAAAAGACTTCCAACAGTCCTCTCATTTGCTTATGCTACAACATGATTTTGCAAAGCAGCAGACTTGCCTGCTAAGATACGCTGGACAGTACAGACTCCAAAGGTATGAAACATCGAAACTTTGATTGAAGCGGCCTGTGCTCTGCCGACTTGCTTGGATAGATCCAACATGCATTCAAAAAGAAATTATCCTATCAAAGTGCTGGATTAGTGTGAAGTTACACTTACTAGAAAGCGGGATAGAATGGCAGCGATGTACTCTGACAGATAGCAGCTACTGATGAGAAACCTTGTAACTAGGGAAACCATAGGTGCTTCCTCAAGTTTCCTCTGTCCAGATTGTCAATGAATTCACCGAACTATTCAGTATGCCAAACTGCATGGATGTTACCTTCGTATCCCCGGGTTACTGTGTAAGTATTCGTATCGTACTTGGGTACTGACCGTAACAAGACGAATTACAAAGCCCTGTGAATGTATTATACACAGTAACCCTAGGATACACTCAGGCGCCTTCAAACACCCGCCACAACACGAAGCAACAAAAAGGTACTTCGGGCAAGACCCACAGGGTGGGTGGTAGGGCACTGGGGGTTACTATATCCCACGTTCATGGGAATTTAAAGTGTTGCTTGTGTGACTATAGCGGACTGACTCATCAACGGTCAGATCGACGCCCCCTCACCATTTATGTCTTCGTCCCTCTTCCACTATTGTACCAGCAGCTGATTCCTTCATGTTCTAAAACTTGAAGGCTCGTTTCTTAGATTGAATGTTTGAGTATAAGGTTTGTTGGATTTGGTTGGGACCGGGGTCGTCCTTGCCTGTATAGTAGCCATGAGAGGTTATTGCAGAAGTCGTGGCAAATAGTCGTTCGTAACCGGGAAAGCAAAAATTAGTGTTTTTGATTCTTTCTATTTTTCTCGGGTTCGTTAACGTTTTACAAAAAATCCTATAAATCTCATGCATTGGGTTTGCAATAGAAGTTGGTGGCAACGACAGTGAGCATTACCAGAGTTCTGGGAGTTACCCAAACGAAGTCGCTAGACACCGACGAATTTGTCCAGTCGTCATTTCGATGGTAATGGTAAACCTGAGTAACCCTTCGGTTTGTCAGCAGAAGTGAAGGGTTTTCTGAAGGGTGAAGGGCAAGCGACCTGTACGTTTAACCCAGTATCTAAGGATATATTGCTTCAGAACATTCGCCTGATTGTCATTAACTGAGAACAACAGCAATTGTAACCGGTCAACATAATATCAAGCACGATGAGATCATGAACAGACGATTAGACATCAGTTCGTCGAATGAGAAGTGTTCGTGAAAGAAATTGTCATCTCTTGTGGGTTAGAAAGGACCAAATATGCGAAGAGTTTTTCTATGAGCAAACTGTTTGTACCGCTAAATTTCAAAGTCTGACATATCGCAACGGCCGCTGGCTGCTGTGGTCGTGAATGGCCTACACTCTCCACTCTTCAGGCATGCGTGTCATAGTAGACTGCTGCCTACCTTCTATGAAAGAAAAACGGGGCAATCGGAAGCCACTCATTCTCGGAACAACGAGACCAAACGCCAGCTGTATCGATAGCTGCAATTCCATTCCTTTTGTCGTTGAGAATGTGCTTTGGTTCATGTAGCGTAACAGCAAACGGACCCATTCCCTACTTTCTTAAGACAAAATGAGAAGTTAAACTGCTAAAGTTCCCCCTCTTAACCCTTGGAGATAGATGAGTGACGTAATAAGTCTTAACCGTCAATTCTGAGCAAAAACCAGGTGAAAAGACCAGACCCAATAGATCTACCGTATCGAAAACATGTGAGAGGTGACTAACTCTTCTACAGTGAGCGAAACACGGAACGAAAAGGCATGACAATAGTAGTGACGAAGTCCCTCAAGGGGTGACTATGCGCTGTCAACAGGAACAGGATTGCATTGTGGTTATAAGATCGAATATGGGAGGGGTGTGGGGCAGTAATATCCGTGTACTCACGCATCCTGGCTGTCCCAAATGAAAAGAATGGCGTGGCGACAAGATTATTTCACCTTAACGTGTGATCGAGCCGAATTGGAATACAGTTAAGTGGTGCTCGGCCACACGCTAGTTTTTGGGTCCCTGTCTGATACCCTCCCAGATCAACGAAGCTGCTCATTTCTCCGATTTCGGCTAAGTGGGGCAAGAGCTATGACAAAATCAGTGGCATGGATACGGCTCGCCACCACAACTCATTGTTTAGACCATGTACGCATTCAAAACGCCCTCATGGTTCCGAATGGAAGCCAAATGGGAGTGTGCCGTAGCAAGACTATCATAGCAAAAAGAGTTCCTCCAGAAAGAATAGAGGCTGTAGCTGGGAATGATCACGCTGACACTATCTAAAGAAAGGCTCGAGATGGGTTCATGGAGGTAGAAGACTAAGAACGCGAAAAACACTGCCGAAGAAAGGATGCTGACCGATAATATATCATAATCCAGCGGTGCGAAGAAACTTCTTGGAAAAAAGAAGATCGAGGAACCACAATGTAGCAGGCAGTAACGGAAGACGAAAGAAGTGAAAGGTTGAACAGTAATAAATGATCTTCGAGAGTTGTGAAAGGTCAAAATCGTGAGCAAAGCGACTAGGCCATTAAGCAGCCTGTGAAACAAAGAAAAACTGTGAAAGAAAAACTAAGTTCAGGAATATGGAACAGAAGAAGGACTCTCCCAAACGACCTCTCCCAAACGATGTTAACTTCGAGTGAGCCAGCTGTCGAAAGATGTTTGATTTCCATGAGACGGAGAATTCCGTTCTTGGGCTGACCAATGCACCAATTCGGACTATTATAAGGTTCGGACAGCCGGGGAAGCCTGAGTAAGCTGGGCTCAGGCGCAAGACGGTATGAATACATCGATGAGCTCCTCTACGAATAACTCCGATTCAAAAGCAGCCAAACAGAGGCGACGGCTGGTGTAATCGTGCTCTGAACACGGATCAGAGCGCGTCGAGCAATGGTGAACATGAAGCTCGGGAAGCGATTAGACCATTTGAGATACAAGTTAAGTCGGGAAAGTCGCTCAGAGGGTTTGGGGATCAGGTGACTCATCAGATTTTTGTACGGTGTGTAACTGCTTAGCGAAGATTCAAAGATGGATGTGAAGGCAGCAATGTCAGCTCTTCTTTTAAATTTATGCAGATGGGGTATTCTGACTACCATGTACCCAGGTCGATTAAGCATACTACCAAACTGTTGTAGAGGCTAATAACCTCAAAACGAACGAAATTCTCCCGACTTGATGTTTTGTTAACTGTTGTTATTTCGCAGCGGTACGATCACGATGCGGAAGTCTCCCAAGGCTAGTAAGTTGTAAGCAAGGCTTAGACTTACATGATACTCAAACTCTGCTTGACTATCGTGAAGGTGCAAGCTACTAGTTCGTGTTCCCAGTAGCTTGCACCTTCACGGTTCTGGACCGATACTGACTCACCCGGCTGACCATGTTGTACGTATGGGGGAAAAAGAGCTCAGTGTTCGGAAAACGTATGTACAGGTTCAAGTTGTGTCCTCAGGTTGAGTTTTACCCGCGATTCGTCAGTCTGTGAAACTAGTCTCGATCAGAGCTTTATGTTCAAGGAAGTCCACAGGGAGCAGCGTTCCCATAGTTAGGCAATAAGCGAGATGTGTCGTTAAATTAAACTTCGGTATCTAGCCCTCCTCGGTTTGAACAAGGCTCAACCGCATAGTCCAACCTGCTCACCGAAAACGTAATGTCGTCGTAGAGAATCGGGTACATGTACTTCTCCCAGAAGGTCGCCTTGCGCTCGCTGTACCCGATCGTGCGCAATCCCGCGCCATGAAGGGAAAGCTTCGAATTCCCTTTGGGAGGATGCGGTATTCGACGCGGAACCACTGTCGCTTGCAGTGGGAATCCGGGGATAAGTACCGCTACCGTAAAAAAACTCAGTTGATCGAGTTAAGGACATCTATGATACGATCCAAACAGCAACATAGTCCCGCACGTTTGACCAAAAGAATAGACAATGAAACTTGTTTACGATCACCTCTGAGCCCACTCATTTTTTTTCTAGCCTCAGACTACATCATAGGAACCTCGAATGTTGGAAACACTTCTCATTGCTGACATCGCCATTATAGATAAGAACTCAAAACAAGCCTCGGAAATGGCAGAGTCTGGTGGCAGGAATGGCTCAATGTGAAAAGGTACTGTAACTCAGCTCCTAGATGTGCTTAGAATCAATCCCATACTGTATTGGACTAGGTATAAGAGTACAGCGCTTCCGATGCTCAGGGAATCAGTTACGTGAACGATAGTATTCCCCATAGTTGCAAAGTAGGCTCTAAACTCTTGGACATTCATGCTAGTGGGAAGTAAACTCCATCACCGGTCATAAGCCGTAATATCCTGGTTTTGAAGTATGGAAGCATCCCTATACTCTACTCTATACTAGCATCCCTATACTCGACTATAAACCTGAGTGTCTTAGCTATGTTTGATGGCTTCGCGCAGAATTTTTCCACTATAAATCTATGAAGCGGCCAGACAAAAAGGAATTGATGGGTAAGTTCCTTAGCTAAAGTTTGAGTATCCCAGTAAGGGGTTTGGTTAGAGTTCGGTAGTCCTAATCGAACAAGCTTTTCAGGCAAGTTTTCGACATACATATGTGGTTAGACGTTGTCATGGAGAAAATTGATTTTCCATGTGTAAACAGAGGTTCGAACACTGTTGTTGCTGTTGTAGAAAGCGCCTCTTGGAGATTATGTGTTCATGATAAAATACCGTCGGTGACCACTTCTGAAGAGCCATTTCTTGTTGTGCGTTTGAAGAAAGAAATAGAATTCATTGAATGGGATAGAAGTGATGAGTTTTGTTAGCACGATACATCTTCTTTGACTAAGCGGACTAGCGTGCTGTCTCGAAGCAAGAAGCACTTCTACGAGCCTTAATGGTCTGTTCAAGTACCCTCCATCCTGAACTCGACAATCGGTGTCAGGTTTCAAAAATTCAAGGATGAGGAATTTTTGATAATAATGTTGCGGATTTGAGGACAACTCCTGATCACTTCAACATTCAACAACAGCAACAGAATGCTACAGACAACTCCACCATCTTTCAATGAATGGACTGGAGTGTGAAAGCTGAATATTACAGAATAGCCACTTTAAGCCCATTTTCAATCCGATGAATGCGGTTTTCGTGCATATGAAAACCATTTTAGCCATGAGACGGTGATTGGCATGGGATAAAAAACGCAGCACCTTCAGAACCATGCCATTTGGTTTGCCAGCTTTTCTTCACGAGATTTCTATCAGATCAGTTTTCTCAAATCAGTATGTAAATGGTGTTCCCAGGTTCTCATACTGATAAACCCTTTTCTGTCCGACAATCCTAACATGGCTCTGCTTCAATCAAATAACCTATCTGGCATTGTGGTGTCAAGATTACGGTGGACACTAAGAAAATTGTAAAAAATGGTACCGGTAGGAGACGGATAAACTGGTGCAGGTACTTGTAATCACAAAATGTCCATGTGGCCTTGAATATGCATAAGAAATAAATAAGTAGTCGTAAGTACAGAATAATTTGCAAAATGCGAATAGATCGTAATGAGAGGTTCGTCGGACAGACGTGGAAACATCGTAGATGAGATTGGAGTTCGTAAAAAAGCTGCTGAGTGCTGGGTAGCTCAATCAGATCGAAAATCGCTCTGCCCAAAAAAATTTAGTCGCTTTCCTGCATCGATGTTCCTGGCCACACATAAACATGAGACGGTTGCAGCGTTTGCATACATGCCGCATGCCTCCCATGAGTATCAAGAATCGAAGTTCCAAAAAATGCAACTTGTAAAACGATTGGAGATACAGGAGTTGAGAAGCAGCCACGATTAACACGTGGAAGACTCTCAGAGGTTCATCAACAACATTTGAGACTGATAGCGTGCGGAAGGAAGGAGTTGATAGAAATCGCTCATGAGAAGGGACGGGTTCATGGACGAGCGATCGATTAGCGGCCGCGCAATTAAAGTCCACCTTCATACGTGAAAGATCTTATGTTTTCAGGGCTGTAGAAACTCATGTATCTGCACGATGTGAAAATTACATGATTCGGAGTGAGGAGACGTTGGGCTAAATAAGCGGATCGCCTCACAAGTTTCCTTCCTGTGGGAGGGATGGTAGTTCAAGGATGCTTCAATACTGGTAGAACTATGCTAGGCACCCGTCCCAGCGTTAATGTAGGCAGTGGCTCTGGCATGGAATCTTGTTGATTGACGATTCATCGGAAATCACCTTTAAGAATTGAAGCATTCAGCTCGTTTGCCCTATCAATTTTCTATTCATAAGTACTACATAATCCTGTCTCCGCTGCCTTCATCATACTGCAATCTCCCTCAGAACAGGTCCGGAATTCACCAAAGTGTAGTAGATGTAGTGGTTCATACTGGAGAACCATTACTTGAGCACAAGAATTCCAGACAAGTCCTACTTAATTACATAATTTCCTGTAAATACTCAAATCATTTGCTGGGAAATATGTAATGAAGTAGGACTTTCTCAACCTTTTTAATGTATTTCCCCATTGCTCATTGCAGGACTGCAGTTAAAAATAAAAAAATGAAAACGAGGGAAATTCGAAACTTCGAAACAGTAGTCACTTTCACATACCTAGTGATCAGACCCTGATTTCGAACCCTGATCAGAACCTTTCCAAAAGCATTGCTCACCCAGTTTTCGAACTATACGACAACGGAAAGAAATGTGCCAGACCATTGGGAAAGAACTGCTTTTGATAATATTCTCAAGCAAACTAAAGAATCGATGTATTGCCCATTTAAGTGGGGTCGGGCGATAAAATTCTTAACTTAGTCGGCTCAAAGTTAAGGTGTCCCTATCCCCCAAGAACAGCTAGGATTCGTGCCTGAAAGGTTTACAACAACTGCTGTCACCACGCCTAGACATTTGATGGAGAAGTATCAAGGATGCTCTTCTGTGAATAGGGCGGAATTCAACTCGTTCAGGTGTATTCTGGAAGCCAATAATGTTCTGAACCAAGCCTATTCTTCGTTCCCTCATAGTTTCCAAAGCTCTTTTTCGTATGTCAATCAGAATTATTCCAGCCTCTTTTATTACAGCATTGAAGAAAGTCATTATAGGAAAACTCAACATTTTATTCTTGCGATATTATGAGATATTTCAATACAGTAACACAATAACATTCAAATTAATTTGGAAATTTTCACAACAATTCGAGAAGACGTGTCTGAAAAACGTATACATTCATCTTCATACATTGCTGATAGTATACCACGAGGATTAACGGGATGAAGCAGCAGCTTCAAAAGCGTCATTGAGAATGGTCAAAAAATGTGAGGTGCGGAGATGTGAGAAAGATCTTTTCAAAAATGTGCATCACAGTCGACAATCAGTCAATAAGCTGTTATAAATGAATGGAATCAACATGGTTTCGTTTCGTCAAATGTTCGATTCAGATCTATCCGACTGTTTTCATAAACTCCTCCAACGTATTCCTTGGGAATATTCACTCGAGAGCGAACACAACTCTGAAATCTCACGTTTTTGATGAAAAAAAAAACCCAAATAATGCCTGATTCTTTGAGAGTGTAGAAGTAATCAGTGGATAAATGGACCGGTGGCATGCAGTGCGAAACCGGAGCTAGAAACAGTGACGGAATCAGTAACTTCGACGTCGACTATCCCATGCAGTCCTTCGTAAAGAGCACAACACGCATTCAAAATGTTTACAGGAGTGACTTGAAAGCACAATTCGGAATAATATTGAGGTATCCTCTTCAAATCGGAAAGCAAAAGTGTTGCTTGGAAATAGTGCAGTGGTGGTGAAAAAAGTGAAAAATTTCGCTGATCTTGCGAAAAACTCCTCAAAAGTAGTGAAAATAGAGTTTGTACGAGATTATCGTGACGGAAATGACATGGAAGGGGTATTTGGACGAGACTTCACTTCCTGCAACTGCGCTAAAAACTGACTATATCGAGCAAAACTGTCCAGAATTGCCTTTCACTGTCGCTATGAGTCATGACAAGTTGTTTGGATTTCGCTTATGGGCTCTCTAGGAATTGCAGTTTCTACAGTGCCGTTGAAACTCGTCCGCGCATACACACAAGACAATCTTGGAGTCTTTATAACGCCCTATCTAGATTGTTCCTGACGGCTCGACATATGGTATACGAGGGAGCCACAGATTCACACTACAGTGAATCGTGAATTGTGCCTTGAACTGTGCGTTTGGAGACTGAAGCTCCTGACGAAATTCCGTGCTTATGAGTTGAACATCGCAAAAGCACAGAGTAGTTGCGAGCAGATGTTTTGCCACTTGGAATACCTACTTTTCCTTTTGATAGGACGGATATGGTGCAGTGGCACGTTATCACACTCCTACTGGGTAGGCCATTTAGTGCTAGACACATCTGGAGGAAGGAAGCACTGACTTATGCGTCTGCTGGCCACTGCAAGTCATGTTACAGGCCACATAGGCATCTGAGCCACCACTACGATTCTGATTGGAAGTCCGGTGATTGGGTCACATTTCAGAAACCGGATTGGCCAATGCTCGACGACTAATACTTCCTCTGATTCTGTTATCTATGTGTGAAGTAGGTTGTCATAGCAACAGTGTTGAGTAAATAGCAGGAATGTTCCGCGACCGAAACAGTCAAAACAATCTGATGCAAAAGAGTTGTATGGAGCCTACAGTTGCATCAACGAAAACTTTTACTTTGTATCTGTACTTTCACCCAATTACCATGGACCAACCATTTTACGAAAGCTGTTCGGGAACGACCTCCTGAGCGTATTCGGAGATAAATTCAAAGGTTATAAACAGAAGCAAAGCAAACCGCCTCCTACTCACAGAAAGCCTATGTGGGCTTCACAGCTTAACGTGGTTACCAGCATGAATAGAAGGATCAAGCCTTTGGCGTTAATCAATCGTTTTTATTATGTGTCCCGTATTCAAGTTCCATTCGAAATAGTATTGATGCTTCGAATGTGAATGTGGCCCATGCAGTGAGTCGCAGTGGCCAGCCAATGTATAAGTCTGTGCTTTTATTCCCCACACGGGTCTGATACCAGTCAACCGAACCTAGAAAGGTTTGGTTTGATTGGCCCAGGCGAGTATCGTTCCAGGATTCCATTCCTCGAACATGCAGGGTTGGTTGTGGGCCACTTGCCTCTACACCACCTCCGCAGAATTATCAGCATACCACTGGATGTACAAATAACTTTCAAACAGCATCTTATACCTCACTGATATACTATTCAAATCAATTTTACATAACAATTTTGGCTGGGGGAAGTTGTGGTGAGACATGTGGGGAAAAGTGGTAAAAATATAAGTCACTCACTCCATTGCAGGTGTGCTCAAGAATCAGATAGGGTGACAGTGTGAGGAATTCGTCTTCACTTGCGACAAATGAGATATTCTGTGGAGGATGTGTCACGTTGAAGTACATCTCACCCAGCAAATCATCTTTCACTGCAACATTTCGATATAATTGGTTCTTTCGTGAATGAAGCTGGAACCGTGAACTCACGGATATCCTTATCCCAGACTTGAAGCTTCAGTTTTTCGAGATAGTCATCGTCACCACAAGTGATCTCTCCGATTTTTACGGTGACATTCTGCAACTTCGCCAGGACTGCAGCCACGACGACGGAAAAATGTAGAATCCTCGACATTGGCACCTTCTGAGTCAGATAAATTCAAAAGTTTCTAGGGGAAATATCTGGAAAACAAAAAAAACTTCTCAGTCTAAATGATATGATAAGATAGTAAAGGTTAACGTACCCAGTGGTGTGTTTGTTTTGAGGAGAACTTCGCAGCGCTGCCGTTTCTAACGTTTTAGACCGTAGTGAAAGCAAGCTCTCGAGGCTGTGGTAAGTGAAAAAACGAGTGATTGGGAATGAAATGCAATTGTAGACTAGCGTAGCGTTCCCACAGCAACGACAGGAGGTTCACAGAGAGTTGCGCGTTGTCCAGGTGAATTGAAAACACATCAACTCAGCTTTGTTAGACTGTCTTAGATAGAAAGTAACACACAAAAAGGTATCGGTTTCAGGATAAGCTGAATCAGAAAAGGTTCACTGAATCCACCAAACAGTATCAGTAAGAGTTCCGTAAGTTAATAGTGAAACAATATGAAAAGGATATCTTCTATCGCCTTAAGTTCCTCATTATCTCAAGTTAAGTTAAAGATTGAAGTTATCCGTTGGAGAGACTTGTCTCGACTCAAGGTAAACGGACACGATCTTTTGCTCAGCTTAATAACCAATGATAGTTTCTTATGGTCAGTACAATCTGCGGCACTTTGATATGGTAATGAATCTATGAATGTGCACCATTTAGTGCTCCCATAGGCTGAAAAATCTTGACTAATTGTTGGCAAATAGTTGTTTGAACATTTATCAAATTGGACATATTCTGTTTTCGAGTGTCGGTTTGTTCATAGATTGGGAAGTCTGTTCTTGCTGAACTGTGTCGAGTCCTGCCTCCTGTTATCTAATAGGTGGTATCCTTCATGCCGTGTTGTACCTGTTGGAGTGCGGTTTATACCGCACATTGGCTAAATGAGAATTCACACATTCATCAATGGGGAATTCCAACATAGTCTCCTATAGGAGAACCTTGTGCCCTCAGTATCAGGTCAGGAGATGACTGCCACAGTTGCATGCCTTTTATATCTTACCATTTCTTACCATTAGGACAATTGAACTGCTGTCTGCTCTCTCTCTCAAAGGTGCTCTCTCACTCGAGCTCAGCCCCACAATTTTTGATCAGAAATTTTTTTATTGATAGAGGAGACCCTAGACAAGGCATTAGGATAACAGGGAATATATCAGTGGCAGTCATCCTCGACATGGGTGACAAAACATTGGATGAGGGGCAGCTACGCCACCAAGGTAATCCCAAAAAGGGTCTGTCACGATAGACCACATCCACAAGTCACAAGGCTCACTGAAGTGTCGCACGATGCAACCAATTCATGGAATTGAAGAAAGTCTTTCATATAACTCAGGCAAAAATAGTTATGCACACCCCTAGCAATCGGGTTATTCTCTCTCCCTTGTGCTCAGTCCCACAACCTTTAAATAGAAGTTTTTATTAATAGGGGAGGCCCATGACAAGACAACACTACCATGTTAGAACCTTTCATAACCGCCCCATAGACATCAGCTGAAATGGAAAGGGGTGAAACAAAGCAGTTACAGGCCAATGCATCCGCTTCACAGAGTGCTTAGTACCTATGAACCCGACTAATAAGCAGAGGGCTGATTACAAGTCACAGTTGACAACGCTTGCGAAAGAGTGTTCGAGTAAACTTGTTATTCATAGGTAATGGCCTCGCTCCCCACCCTTCAACTGTGCAGAAGGAAACGAGTGATTTGGGAACACCCAACAACTTTGAATAGGATCAAAGAAGATGATGAAAATAATGCTACAAGAGCCCTTTCGGGATTCTGCACTCTTCCCTCCATAGCCCAACCACTGATGCAGGACCCTACACAGGCAACACTACGCCACAGACAAGAATATATCGGTGAAGTCCCTACAGTATGGGCAAGTCCAAGAAACGCAAGTGCTTCTGGCACTGTGCGTGCGGCTGCCTACCCGTCACTCAGAATTCTTCATAGAAGCTCTGACTGATTGAGCACTCCTCGTTAGGCGGATAAAAGACTGGATTAGCGGCATGCGTGGAGTGCTTCGGATGTAGCTTTGGAAAATCGGTTACGGTAAAGAATTCAAATGACGCATGCTAAATTGAAACTTTTGCCTTTGATAAGTGTAAGCCTAGATCCTCAAGAATGATATGCTGCAATATTTGCACGTGAATCGCGAAGCTCACTTGAATATTCTCAAGGTTTGCAATCGAAGAGCTATGTAGCTTCGAAATGATTTTAGAATCTCACATCATGAAAGGATATAAGTGCAGCCCATAAAAGTCCTCAGTTATTTCTCGAAAGTGCCCGATTTGAAGGCGTGTTGGCCACTCCCTCACCTCAGGCTCTGCCTATATGTAGTACCAGTCAGATCACCAGGCTAACACGCTTCAGCTTTAGGTGTAAAAATGGTTTCACCTGCGTCCCCTTCAAATTTGAAAATTCTGGTACCATAGAACAGGAGGTAATTTCGGCTAAACACCCGCACACACACCCGACACACTTCGTGAGCGCCTCGCCTATCATAATCGGAATTCTGCTCAACTCATCTGTGCTAAGGTAAGTTGATTCATTTCCTTCTTTTTTCACTTGATTACGCAATACTGAGACCTGAGATTGCGTTCATTTTGAGCACGCTCCGCCCTTGTGGGCGAAGCCTTGTTCTGCCACCTATCACAAGCGTTCCCATCCTGTCTCCTGTACCAAGTTTGAGCGCTCTAGGCCCAAGTCAGCATTTTTCAAGCCGCGAACACACTTTTGGTAGGTGGACCAAGACTTCGGGAGCAGGGGCAGGGCGTGAGTGAAACGAACGCCATGTCAGTGAATTTGACCAGTCATATTGAAAAGAAGAGGGGAATGAACCAGTCAACTTGACACAGATGAGTTGAGCGCAACTCCGGTCATGATGGGCGAGGCGCTAATGAAGTGTGTCGGGTGTGTGTGCGGGTTTTAGCCGAAAATTTTTACCAAAAAATTAGGTTGCCAGCTTCTATTGCACTGTTACTGTACGCAATTTTGATTATACTTTAGGGCAAATAAGGTTTCCTTGTTTATTTGACAAAGTTTATTTGGGAACGTTTCGGGCTACGAATCAGGAAAGACGAAACATGAGCAACGGGTCAATAGGTAGAAGAGAACGGATGAAGTTATTTTCTTCGTGAAATGGTGAAAAGTGAGATTTCTAAGTGAGAGATTGCTTCATGGTTGATCTGCTCTTCCTTTTTTCTGAAGGAGTAATTCATAGGGTTTACTGCCACAGCATACATCGATAAATTGGACCCGCATGGGAAACTACAACAGTGCTTACTTCCATACCAGCGCGTAAGGTATTTTAGACATTCAACAGCGCTCGAATCAAAGAAGATCAATGAAATTTCAAAGTTGAAGGACAAGGAGGGTTTTGGATTGAACTTGGAAAAGAGTCTGAGCTCAAAGGCCTCTTGGAACCTCTTGGACTTCCATACACCTTCATGCTCTACGTTTCAACGGAACCGGCGTGCACACTTTCTTGTAAAGGCCAGGATAGGAGTGGTTTCCAAAACCATCCGCGGAACCGAAGAAGATGACATGTATAGATATATTGTATTTACCTTTGATGGTTTCTGACCAGGAATGGTTCAACTTCCCATGGTACTTGGAATAGAGTCCTCCCATAGCCCGCAAGGGTCTCCGTGTCCTAGTGGAAGTCCCCTCGCTCTCCAGGTGAGTGATGGGGGTTTGCTTCTTGTTGGTGTTTTTGTTTTTGCAAAACGTGCTATCCATCCAATAAAAGCTCTTGAACCGTTTATTGTTAATAATTCAAGTTAGCGCTTTGTTTCGGCTACCATTTGCGATCAATGATTTATCCCCTATAACCGCACTTATTCAAAAAATTTTCTACATGTTACTTCTGTAACGCTTTTTGTTTTCCACATTGAACATACACATCCTAAGTGAAAGACACAGGAGAAAACTCGACATCAATGAAACAACTCAAAAAATCGGTAGAGAAAACGCATCTCTGCAACCGTGTACAAAACATACTAATCCAAAAAATACCTTTTTATGGGTTGTTTCGATGTTGACTTTTCTCGGTTGTCTTTCACTTGGGGGTGTATGTTCAACAATGAAAATAGAAGAGCGTTACAGAAGTAACACGGAGGAAATTTCCTGAATAAGTGCGGTGATAGGTGATATATAAGTGATCGCAAACGGTAGCCGAAACAAAGCGCTAACTTGAATTAGTAACAATAAACGAGTAAAGAGCCTTTATTAGATGGATAGCACGTTTGGTCAGTTCAATTCTTGGCGATAAAAGGGTAGTGTTTATCGATGGCCTGGTGAATTCATCCGAGGTCGCAGTTCACTCCAAGACAACGTTCGTAGAGGTCGCCCAAAATCAGTTGTTGCTCCGGAAACCCGTCAAGTGACTCGTCATGGGACCTATCTGAGATTAGGACAATCTTAGGCATTAGAGGGACCAGCATACAATCAATACTGCATGAACATTCGATTGCCAAAAAGAATTTGTTCGAAAAAACTCTTCACCCCGACAGTGCGCGCTCTCACGCATCGGCTCGAACAACTGCATTTTTGAGCACTCAATACATCGATTTGATGAGTAATCCGCCATAAACCTGGTTTGGTGCAGTATGACTTCTTTTTATTTCCGTACGTAAAAAATTAAACGAGAGTTCAGCTTTTTCGACACCTGAAGAAGCGGTTCATGCGTTCAGAATGCATCTTTTGGAGATACCTCAATCAGAGTGGCAAAAGTGCTTCGACAGGTGGTTCATCCGCATGCAAAGGTGTATAGATCTTAGTAGGGAATAATTTGAGGCAATAAAGCGATTTTCAATTATTAGAATTTATTTTTGTCCTCTAATCCCAAAATATGAAAGGCAACCTACGTACTTCATATCAGTTAGAAGTCTGCATTCGAGAAGAGAGGAAGTAAAGGGAGAGATTTGAGTCGCCTATACGAATGAGCTACCTGTACACTTTTTTATGAACCCGCCATCGCAGTCTAACTAGCCTCCTCG